TCTCCCTAGTAATTGATACCTTAGTACATTTGAACATGGGCCCTTGTGGAATATCGACCCCGCCGACGATCATATGAATGACATGTTGTGGTTCCTCCTGTTCATTTTTCCTGTTGGCGTCTCTGTCTCTGAAATGATTATTGGCTCGATCGCTAAGGAACTCCCGAAGGTGGCCCTCGTTGAATAGATGAGCTACCTCTTCCCTTAATTGCCTGTAATTGTAACAACCCATCCCGCTAGTGATATTGTTCGCTTTGGTCCTAGTCCTTCACGGGTTTAAAATGCGTCACTAGGGTTTAAGGCTTGTTAACTTATATACCCAGCATCCCTCTTGTGTTTCGCCGATGTGGGATTCTGTCTAAAGTGTGAGGTGTTACATACACCCCCTCTTATGGACTCTGCGTCCCCGCTGAGATTTGCCCCACTGCGTGGGATTTGCCTAGACTCAGCATTGAGGTTTGCCCCGCCTAAGCGGGATTTGCCTAAACTCAGTTGAACTCTGACCCACCATCGGCATGACTGACACTAGAGTGGCTCTGATACCATTCGTAACAGCCCAACCCACTAGTGATATTGTCCGCTTTGTGCCTAGGCCTTCACGGGTTTAAAACGCGTCACTAGGATTTAAGGCTTGTTAATTTATATAGCCAGCATGCCTCTTGTGTTTTGCCGATGCTGGGTATATAAGTTAACAAGACTTAAACCCTAGTGACGCGTTTTAAACCCGTGAAGGCCTAGGCCCAAAGCGGACAATATCACTAGCGGGATGGGCTGTTACAACAATCCTCGGTCTTGTGACCATGCGTGCCATGATACTTGCACATCAAAATTGGGTTTCTTTGGGAAGGATCGGTTTGTATGGGTCTGGGCCATCTAGTATCTTTGATCCTTCCGATTACCGATACAATGCCTGATGCATCGACGCTAAAGTTATATTTCAATAACCGAGGTGCCTCTATGGGATCGACATGCTTATCAAAACCACTTTTGCTCATAAGTCCCCGAGAATTTTGTCGATCTTTTCTTCGATCATTCCGGGAGGGATTGCGTCCCGAGCCATTGTTCCTTCGATCTGCGGTATATGGTTGATATCGTTCCCTGTTCGACCTTGGTTCCCTGTCGATGTCCCTCGGGGTTTTAACTACCAACCTGTTTGGATGTACTGAACCGGAAGGGGCTCCTAATTGGTCGACCTCGACCCTAATCTTCGATTGATATCGATTGTGCACATCTGCCCACGTTACAGCTGGATACTTGACCAAATTTTGTTTCAACTGTCGTGATGCTATCGAACTCCGCTCGTTCAACCCTTGGGTGAAAGCTTGAATAGCCCAATCATCTATGACCGGTGGCAACTCCATGCGTTCCATTTGAAATCGGGATACGAACTCCCTTAGCATTTCGTTTTCCCTTTGTCTTATCTTAAAAACGTCTGATTTTCTGGTTGCAACCTTTATAGCCCCGGCGTGTGCCTTCACGAAAGAATCTGCTAACATGGCAAATGAGTCGATAGAATTTGGTGTCAGGTTGTGATACCAAATCATTGCTCCCTTTGACAAAGTTTCCCCAACTTTTTTCAGCAAAACGGACTCAATCTCATCATCATCTAAGTCATCTCCTTTAATTCCACATATGTACGAAGTGATGTGTTCATTAGGATCGGTGGTCCCGTTGTATTTAGGTATATCCTGCATACGAAACTTCTTAGGAATGGGCTTCGGAGCCGCGCTCTGAGGAAAAGGCTTTTGCACGAACTTTTTTGAATCCAAACCCTTCAAGATCGAGGGTGCCCCTGGTATCTGATCAACTCGGGAGTTGTATGTTTCCACTTTTTTATCATTATCTTCGATTTTCTTCTCCCCCGACTCAATTCTTTTGGTGAGCTCCTCGAGCAGTTTCATAATTGTAGGATCAGTCCCTGATCCGTTATCATTCGACCTTTCTGGCACTGGCTCGATACGGCGAGTGATTTCCGGCTCGACCACACTCAGAGTTCTATGTTGACTTTGAAGCTGAGCAATAGCGGCCTGCTGAGCCTGCAACATCTCGAATATTACTTGGAGACTAACTCCCCCGTCTCCTACGCCCTGTGTTCCTTGGCCACCAGATCGGCTTTCCCTGCGCACACTCCATTCGGGGTCAGCGCCTAAATCCACATTCAAAGCAACGTGCGAACTGATATCGACTAGGTAGACGCACGGTACTCCCCCGAGATTAGCCGGTGGCACCCCGTCTCCTGGAGCAATTACATTGTTGTTTTCTCTGTGAGATCCAAGACCCTCATCACCATGTACGAGTGCGTTTTGTGAGTTTGACATGCTTTAACCTGAGAGCAAAAATACTTGACAAGAACAGGTGTGAAAATAACGTGTGTTATCAGAGTCAGCACTGAAACAATCACTATTATCCTTAGCCCCACGGTTGGCACCAAACTGTTTACCCTAAAATTCGAGTAACAATTAAACTTGTATTGTAGTTTTAAGGATATGTGGTTTAATTCAACACCAATTGATAAACAAGGGACTAAATAGACAAATTAAAGAGTAACGTAGATCAAATCTGTGTGTATGCTAAGTCTCGACCCCGACCTGTGACGGTCTCGAGGTATGATTATTGGAATAAATGATAAAACAATTCTGAAGAACAGTAGGTAAAATAGCAAGAGAATAATATAAGTATATTTTCTTATCAGTGAACAATGGTCTACAAATGAATAAGACCCCCCTTTATATAATAGGGGAGTCCTAAATAAGGTACACTTCTAATTACAGTAGGAAATCATATTTGACAGCTGTCTAACTGCCGAAGACCAATCCATTCTGAAATTTACGTCGTGATCCTCGGGCCGTTGCGGGGTATGTCGCTCTTTCCGTTACTGAATCATAGCGGTATCATCTCGGAGCATGCCTTTTTCCGACCTCGGCAAATGATATCGGCCTCGACATTGGAAAGGAGCTTCGACCCCGAGCTCGACATCCTAGCCTTCCGACGTGGTATCACTTTCTCCATCAAAGAACGGAATCGGATTCCCCGATTTCCATCGTATACAGTATATATAAGGCTACAAGTTTTTAAAAAAATGGCCACGCAGATGCTACGACTCGTTTCAGATAACAATTCAAAATTTTTTATTTCTTTTTTTAAATTTTATGTTAATTCAAATTATGTCAGATAAATTTGAATTGAGGGAGTAATACATTTTCTCTAACCTAGCTAAGTTCCCAGCTCGTAAATAACTTAATTGTTGGGTGCCTAAGTTGAATATCCACACTGCGTCGATATCCAATATTATGATATTAGATTAAAAGAAATACATCAGGAAAGGATAAAGTATTATAATTAGGCAAATAATCAAATAACATGTTGGAGATGAAAAGGAGTTAAAAAAGTATAGATTATTTAGTATATCGCAAAAGTCCTGCTAATAAGGATCACAGAATCTTAAGGAATCCTTTTACCATATTTGAAAAGACAATCTACCAACTTTTTGCTAATTCCATAGTTTGGATTACACAAGGGAACTCCAATGTGCGTACCAATATCACAAAAACAAATCTGCTGAAAAGATTTTAACTAACTAATTAATCAGATTTTTGTTAGAAAATATCTAACAATTGTTTATTTAATGCCAGTGCACAATATAATTAGGAGCCATTGACATTCTCTTCTGGAAGATAAGAAGATAACACATGTAAAGTCAACATTGAAATTTCACTGTCAATAATAAAAATATATCTAGCGAATATTGCTCTGGTAAGCGTAACATCACCCTACGGATGGTCTAAAATATTTAACTAATCAACAATATTTTTTGCAATTAATAATGCGCTAAGGATTGCGATTATGTATAACCATTTTACGAAGCTATAGTCTTTCCCCAGTTCACTCTCCTTGCGAATAATATCTTTTTTGAAAAAAAAAAAAGAAAGGAAAAAAGTTATTGTATATATTTTTAAATTATAAGAAGTTAGGTAATCGAATTCTTTTAGAAGTTATTGCGCAGTAGCCCGAGAGAAAGAATTGAATTATGGTCCGTCTGATAACTACGTAAGATTGTGGTGGTACTGAGACGGATCCAGATTTTAAATTGAACGAGTTCAAAGATCAAACTTGTACCAAACTCATTATACAGTTAAAAGGTTCAAATTTGATATTTGGTAAAATTTTAATAATTTTTTACATATATATCTATACTCTATATCGAAAATTATGAGTTTAGATGAACCTTTAAACTCTAGGCTACATCCGCCTCTGTGGTAGGATGGTAAGTTCGAAATGCAAATCCGTCGAGCCACAAATCGGGTACCAGCCACTAGATGGGAAAAAGAATAGTGGTCCTGTCTGGTCCAAGCAAAACTGAATTATAGTTTACCAAATAGCTGAGGTTTTTATGAAGTGGACCAAACTATCATTATGAAGAAGGGAGAAAATATTTAAATTAGGTCAAAATAGAAGCTAATAATGTCTTCTTCCTATCTGTTTTCCCTCCATATACAACTTGAAGTTGTTATGAAGTGAAAAACTGCCTATATTGGTGAGATTTTTATGAAGTTGACCAAACTATAACATCATAATAAAGGGAGAAGCATTTTGGTTTTTAAACCAAGTCAAAGTAGAAACTAACAATATCTCCTGTTTTCCCTCCGTATACAACTCCCTCTCCTCCACTAAAAGACCTTTTGTTTTTCTTCTTAAGAAATAGAACAAAATGAGGAGTCTTGTCTTCCTGTAGAGGAAATTGAAAATTTAAGCTGCTACAAGTATCAAAATGCAGTTCCCAAAAAAGGCAGCCGGTGCACAAGACATCCTACACTCACAAAGGGCTCGAGGAAGGGCCGCACCCTAAGGTGTGTGATGTAGACAGCCTACCCTGATTCTAGCATTAGTGGTTGCTTCCACGTCTACAAAATATCATGAAAACCATCTATAGATAAAGAAGTTAGGAAGGTCTATATGTTACCACTATGTTGCTAAGGACAAATAGGAGATTTCTTTTGAAGGACTAAAAATATGCCATTGTTAGTATTGGCCTGCAGTTATTAATCAACAGTAAGACAGTTAAAAACAATCACCTTATTTACATAAAAAAACAACTGATTCAGATTCTAAACATACACACTTGAGAACTTTTCTCAACATGAACAAGTAATTTTCAAAAAGGAAACCTATTCTGCATAACTCTTCTGTCGTCTCCTTGATCTACTGAAATTTCTCGAAGGCGGGGAGGGAGAGAATTCGAAAGGGAGAGATGGTAACTCCATCTCTCCTTTCAAAATCTTAACAATGTCACTAATGTCAGGCCGCAATTCGGGCATTTTCTGTAAGCAAGCAAGTGCTAAGTTAATGCAAAGACTTGCCTGCTCTTTGTTGTAGTCATCTCTTAGTCTCTCATCAACAAGTTCTAACACATTTCCAGAATTAGCTAATTGCTTACACCAGCTTATCAAATTTGCTTTCTCAAGTTTCATTGGTGAATTTAGAACATGTAAAGGCCTCCGACCGGAGACTATTACAAGGATAAGAACTCCAAAGCTGTATATATCAGCTTTTTCCATTAAGTATCCACACCCTCCATATTCTGGTGCAACATAGCACAATGTACCTCTCATACTCGTCGTGCTACTCAACTCTCGACTGAATAGATCACCGCTCCACATATCACTACCAACTGATCGCGAATTCTTTCTCCTCCAACCTTTCCTGAAACTGAATTCTGCATCTGGATCATCTGCATTTTGGTCCTGCATTCTGAAATTTCTCTTTCTCTTGAATCGAAAGCGTTTACCAATATCAAAATGTGGAATCTTGAACCGCTTTTTACAGTAATGTTCTAGCCTCTTGGCTTTCTTACTTTTCTTGTTTAGTTCATCTAAGTGCTCTTCTTTCCACCACTCTTTCATCTTCCTCGGCTTCTTATTACGCGTTTTCTCATTTATCTCCTTCTCGGGCTCTTTCTTGGGAATCTCTGACTCTTGTTCTTGCAATATTGTTTCTTGCACTTCCTCAAATTTACTCAGAGGTGCTGAAATATCCAAATTGGTTTTCTGAGGAGAGCACTTTTTTTCTAAGTCCCACTCAGGATTAGTTGATGGGCAAATTTGGCTTCCAATCCATTCCATCACATAATCTTTGCTACATAATTCACCACTACCATCTTGTCTCCACCACCAATCTTTGCCCCATTGTTTGACATTTCTTGCTTTATCATCTCCACTTAAAGCAGCACCCAAGTCCAACTTTTTACTACGGTCAAAACTACTAAGCTCCTCTTCATAACTAGCTACACCATTTTCAATAACTGAAACTTCCTTCCCTTTAACATTCCTAGATGTGGCATCATTTTCATTAAAGAAACTTAAATTATGAGTCACAGAATTCAAGCCAAAAGCTCTAATATTTTGAAAACTTTTACTACCTTTAGAAGAAGAAGAAGCTTGTAAAGCCATAGCAAAATCTACCTCATCTTGACTTTCCATAGGTGTCCCAATAGGTGTTGGAGTCTCAGTTCCTGTAGTTAATGTCCCTAAATTCCCAGAAAGTTCTTGACTTTTCCACAATTCTTGACTCTTGCCCAATTCTTGACTGAACAAATCAACACCAAATTCTTCCTCAAGTTTCAATCTTGACAACCCAAAATCAGAAAGCTTAGCTCTATACTCTGAATCAAGCAACACATTGCTAGGCTTCACATCCCCATGAATTACTGGTGGGTCACAATCAATATGTAAAAATGCTAATGCTTTAGCAACATCAAGAATGACATCAAATCTTCTACTCCAATTCATACACAAATTTGACTCAGAAAAAAGGGATTCTTGTAAACTTCTATTAGGCATATATTCATATACAACAAGTCTTTTACTTTTCTCTACACAATAACCAAGAAGTGAAACTATAAGAGGAGATTTTATCCCACCAAGAATCTGAAGCTCATTCTGAAATTCCCTTTCACTTTGGAATGAACCAGAATCCAGTAACTTAACTGCTACTAATTTCCCATCTTCAAGAATTCCTCTAAATACAGTTCCGGATCCACCTTTTCCAATTGAAGTGGAATCACTAAAACCTTCAGTAGCTGATTTTAGCTCTTTGTAACTGAACCTGTGGAGCTTAACAAGAGGTGTATTAGAATCAAAAGGGTTAGTACGAGAACGGTGTACTAAAGAATACCAAAGATAGTAAAGAAAATAAAGAATGGCAAAGAGAATTATAAGTGAAGCTAAGGTTGTAATAATGAGGAAAATTATGCTTGACATATGTCTTGGATTTGAAGGAAGTGGCTGTCTTGAAGTCATTGTATTCTATAGTTTAAGGTTCTAACTCACTTGAGGCAGAGAAGTTTCAGGAAAATGGAGGAGAAAGTTGAGGACTTTGCTAGGTTCAATTGGTTTTTGTTAAGTTCTTTTTTTTTTCTTATTATATTTGTATTTAATCTTTTTTTTGAGCTAACTGCTAAAGTATCTGTCATGTTACCAGAAGGTCACGGGTTTAAGCTGCGAAAATAACCACTTGCAAAATTACAGGGCAATGTCGCGTACAATAGACCTTTGTGGTCCGGTACTTTTTCGAATAGACCTTTGTGATCCGATACTTTTTCGAATCCCGCACACAACCGGATCTTAGTGCACCAGACTGTCTTTTTTTCAAGGGGGAGTGGTGGATCTTGCTTTACAGTTGGATAATCATTTGAGGATTAGTACAATGTTTTTAATGGATCTAATGGAATACTAGTACTTTTACTGCTAGTAGAATAATAATAATAAAGAGTCTTGAATTTTTGTTGTGTAGTTCTGTAAGTAGCAGTACTTTTTTAATGATGTAGATTTGAGTTGAAGTTGGAGAGATGATAATGATTAAAGAAATATAGGGGGAATTAGGAAAATACTGAGATAATGTGGAGTGGGGGGACCCAAAAGGCCAGAAATGCTTTTGACTAAGGAAGAAGAATTTGCAGTATCTGAGGGGAAAAGTGAATGTGGTGTTGGAGTACAGTGCTGAGTGCAGGTTTTGGACTTTTGTGATTTGTTTAATTTTGGTTGCAGAGAAATATGGCCTACCTACCATCTTGATTCTAGGGAGAGTTATAAAATGATTCCTCCAAAGGGGCTATTCAGTAAGTAGTAAATAAAATTATTATATCGTAGACAAGGGTTGATTGATTTGGTTGGGTGAGTAGTTTCTCACATTAGAGATTTGGGATCGATTTTCCTCACCAACAACATTCTCAGTCAGAGCTCGTCGCACCAAACTTGCCTAATTTACATACCCTATGCGATTTGTGAACTGACTTCAAGGAAAGAAAGGATATGATAATTTTGCAGGTTCTCGAATTTACCTTGTTATTAAGGAGAAAAAAAAAGTATTTCTTCTAGAAATAGAGGTTAATAAGATAAATGCTATAACCTGTAAGGATGACCGAGTTGGTTGAACAAGTGATTCACCGGATGAGAGGCTGCAGGTTCCAAACCCCCTGCATGCTTTTTTGGTTGAGCTCGTCGCGGATCCGTAGTTAATGTAAGAGCTAGTAAACTCGAAAGATGAAGGATAATCTATCTCAAAATTCCAATGCCATTGAGTAATCCCCTTTCAAGGGAATTATGGATGAAATTCAAAATTAGCCAGATTTACAATTGGTAACTGAAAAATAGACACAGTTTTAAAAGTAATCGAAATTTAGCGACTTTTATGTAAAGATAAATCTGAACGAAAACAATATTCAAAATCCGAAAAATATTCCAGCATAAATACTGGAGTTCCAGCATAATTATGCTGGAAGTTCATACACAGGTGCTCCATTCTCCAGTATATTATGCTGGAACTTTCCGTATGTTGGAGTTCCAGCATAATATGCATAATATGCTGAAAGTTCATACACAGGTGCACCAATCTCCAATATATTATGCTGTAACTTTTCGTGTTGCAGCAAAATAGTAGTTATTTTTCAATGACTTTGCAAATGCTAACTATTTTTCAATTACCAGTCCGAAAACTGGTTAGTCTGTGCTATTTTCACGGGAATTATAGTCCATTAACCATACTATATTCTAGTTGCGAATCCTTACTCTAAAAATCACACCAAATGGGAATAGTCCATAGTATTACTTTCAAATATTTGTAAAAGAATCGTAATGACAAAAGTTGAGGCTTTAAAGGTAGAGCCTTTTGAAGTAACCTATAAATCTAACTTTTGAAAAAGATAGAAACTCCTCTCTTGTTTATTGTTTAAATCTAGTCACTACAAGTTGCTTTCCCTCTTAAGAAAGCAAAATACGACTTAAGCAGATTGAGACAAGAATTATAATGTAGCAAAGCACCTTTTCAAGATTTACAAGCATACAAAGTGATCTTATTTCAACTTTCATTTCCTTTGTAGACGAATTTATTAAATAAATATTTACACATGATATAAAAGGTTCTTTCTTGTATATACTATTACCTTTTAAACATAAAATTTTCTTTGTCCTGGGTGTTGTACAGTAGTTATGGCACCCACACTATCAAAGTTTGAAATTCCAAAAGTGCAGTGGAACTAGTTCTATATGAGTGTTTTCATTTATTCTCATTAGTTAGTCATAGTTGCACAACCACATAGGATATAAATGTACTGAAGTGAAAGATGAAAGGGTGAAGTGTACCAATAGCCACTTTTAAGTCCGTTATTTAAAATATATTTACAATTTATAATGTATTTAAAGATTAGTTAATTCACCCAAACTTCAGGACTAAGTATCTTGAATTTGGAAATTTAAGACTTAGTGTCCTGAATTTTTTAGTTGCTAATTTGAAATTTGGGACTAAGTGTCCTGAATTTCTGAACTACTAATTTAAAATTCAGGATATAAGATTCGAACTTCTGGACATAATTTTTGAACTTTAGGACACGATGTCCTGAAGTTTGAACTTTGCGATTTAAACTCTAGGACGTCGTGTCCTGAAGTTCGAGCGAAATTGACTAATTTATAAATACATTATAAACTGGGCATATTACGTGGTGTCATTTCCACAAAGATGAAACTATTTCATAACTCGTAATAACCATTAAGGGCCGTTTGGTACAATGGTGGAATATCTCAGAATATTTCATGGGCTGGGATATCCCATAGGATTAGTTAATAGCTATCACACTTTCTATATGGATTAATTAATCCTAACTTTTTAGTACAATATTTATCCCACGATTAGTAAATTCCTATAACAAAACATGAAATAAAATTAGTCCTAATTTTTATACCAGGATATCAACCTCATCCCGTGAACCAAACGAACCTTATTGTTATTTCTAACTGTATCATAGTAGTCTTACAAGTAACAAATTTTGTATTTTAACCTAAAATTTTGTTAATGTGTCAAAGTTTGCTCTGTATCTCTTGCAACAATTTTGTTTCTTCCGTTGCTAAACTAATGGCAAATATATGGAGATAGTAGCTATTTGAGATGTGGGGAAAAAATGTCAGCATTACCCTAAAATGAGCATTGGATCCATGAAAGTTGTAGTGATAAACTGATAATTAAAGAATGGGAAAACTGAAAAAGAAAAAGGAAAGCAAGGAAGAAAGTAATAGGGAGTAGTAAAAGTTAAAGAAAAAAAACTAATTGCTTTTGAGAGGGAAAAGAAACAAAAAAAAGAGATGATGGTTATAATAGGATATCCTAAAAGAGAAACAAATGATGTCCCAAATGTCACAATTCAAAGGAATAAGCCATATGGCAACCGAATGGATGGAGATGCTTTGTCTCCTTATCTATGCCCACGTCTCTATCCCACTTCTACTTTCTTTAATTTGCTTTTCAAGCAAATCAACTTTATTATTATACTGATTTGACTTGATTAGTCACATTATTAATATGTATTATATACTTGGTAAATCCATTATATTATCATCAAGAAAGAAAGAATGTGTATTTTGTGGAAACTAAAAGGTTGTATTATCTAGAATTGGTCCAACTTTGCCCACAGAAGCTTTGGCTCTATTCCTTTCCTTCGTGAAGACGCACATGTAGTAGTAGGCACAATGGCAAAATCAAACACATCATCGGCGGAGAGAAAAATGATAAAGATCGATAAATATTTACTCGCACTGAATATTTATATCTAACCATAAACCACAATAGAGACGCTCTTTGAGGAAGCTTCATTTCATATGTATAGTTAAGTATATACGTTCTTTTCTTAAAAAAAAACGTTGTATAATTAGGGATAAAGTCGGCACGTTTTAATACAAAGTAAGTATTAGTTTGTGTTGGAGAGTGATGTGTATATACAATAGTTAGTGTAGGGGTTAACTTGTATATACTAGAAGTTAGAGGTAGCTATTTGTTATTTAGCTTAGTGTTAACAAACTAGGACTTAGTTGATAAATATCTGTTATCTGTACTCATTTTCAGTTAATGAGAAAACTAAACATTTCCCTCTCTCTCTCTCGATTATGCTCCCATGGCAGAGATCTAACATGGTATCAGAGCAGGAAAAGATCGATCTTCTGGTTCTTGTTCAAGCTCGTTAGGAGAAGCGGAATTGAACACAGTGATTTCTAATTTTTGTTCTGATCAGCTGTTTCCACATCGAATTGATCGTCAATGGCGACGGAGAAAATAGATCATACGCATCCATTGTTCCTTCAGCCTTCAGATACTCCAGGATTGCTATTGATACCAATTCAACTTACAGGTTCCGAAAATTATGGAATTTAGAGTAGATAGATGAAGCTAGCTCTAAAGGCCAAGCGGAAATTAGGGTTCATCACAGGGGATTGCAAAAAGGAGGCGTTTGAGGAAGCTCTCCATGAGGAATGGGAGACCTACAAAGCAATAGTGCATTCCTGGTAGGGGTGTTCATAAAAACACGAAAAATCGAACCAAACCGAAAACCAAACCAAACCGACCAAAAAAACCGATACTCTTTGGTTTGGTTTGGTTTTGGTTTTGGATTTTAAAAACCAATCAAATTTGGTTTGATTTTGGTTTTAATCAGAAAAAACCGGAAAAAAAAACCCGAACCAAACCGACAATAGGAGTAGCTATTTCAAATTTATTATTACACCTATATATATGTATATTTTTATACAAAGTTTCAAAAATTTAATGGTAAATGTTAAATAGTTTGCACTTTTAGTATAGTTCTTTACCTTTACATTCTAGTTTGAATGGTAGTTTTCTTTTGTTTAGTGTAAGAATCCATTTTGTGTTAAAAATAATATATTTTTAATTGAGTCCTTAAATTATTCATCACTATCTGATTCAATTATCATCAATATATCTTGGTAAATAATAGATTTCTCAAAGGGCAATTGATTTGATAGTGTTACGTTGAAAATATGGTCGCCGGAATATGTGTTTGGTAGTGTATGTCTTATATTTAAGAAAAAACCGATAAATAACCGAAAAAACCGAAAAATCGACAACA